GGGTCACAAATTTTTTAGGTAAGCTTATCTTTTGTTTTTAAATAAGACGTAAGCTAAACCATTGTTTTTTGCCATCATCACTTTTCACATCTTGTTCTTTAGACACCAGAGACACGATAAATTTGAATGATATTTTCATTTTTTCTACAATATATTATTTGTTCATGTCTTTGTCTTGCAAAATCTAGGTTTTACAATGATTTGTTCAATACAAAGAAAAGCAAATTAGAGTTGTTTTGTTTGTATGTGTGTTAAAGAGTTGATTTTTTTTTTTGTTCATACAGTATAAAGAAAAGCAAAAGAGGATTTTTTTTGGTTCGTTAGCTTTTGTTTGTGTGGTGTGTTTGTGTTTTTTTACATAAATTTCAAAATTCTTATGGATATCCATGCTACTTTAAAAATCTTGTTGCATGAGTAAAATTGTAGAGATTTTATTTCTCAATAACATTCTCTAAATTTTAATGGAATTAGAGATAAATTTTTTGAATAACAAATAATTTTTTTAAAAATGTGAAAATCTTCAAACAAATAATAATGGATTTTACTTAGAATTTAAAAAATACACTAATCAATAACAATATAATCTATTTTTTTAAAGAATTTATATGAATCTAGATACGAAGAACCTCCTTCTCTCATAGAACATAAGCATATCACTCAAGTAACCTTCCTCTCTCACTCAAACACCTTCTTCTTCTAAGGCACCTCGCCATAGAGGCCATGAGTTCCCCACAAGAAGTTTTTTTGCATCGATCTTGTGATCAATATCAAGAAAGGGACCCATGTGATTCAAAGCTTAGAGGACGAGCACATCGAAATAAATACCGTTGATGCTATTTTCCCGATAAATGTTTAAAACCATTTGCTCATGCTCCTTCGCCTTAGTGAAGAGTGTCATCGCATAAGAGAATTTCGCAAAATTAGGTTGTTTTTCTTTAGTTGAGTAATCGAGTAAGGGAATCATATAGTTGGAATTTGTTCATTTTCTTATGTTCAGCTATAAGCCAATTTGATAATGTTTTACATATATGTAGGTTGTATGTTGTTGTTTCTACTAAAATCCCCAATTGTGAAAAACAATTTGTATCGAAAGGGAATGTAAACAGTTACACAATTCAAGAAGAATTTGGTTTCAATTTAAAGAAGAATTAGTGTGATTTTGCATATGAATGTTGTTTTTTGTATTTATGACTTTGTAAAGTTTCCTTATATTCTTATGGTTCATCTTTGATAAATGTAGTAGTGGGATTCGTCTTATGCACTTTTCTTGTACAAGTTGCTCTTCCAAATCGTTTTTGGCATGGGTTCTGTCCTACGATGTTTTGGTACTTGGTTCAAGGGCTCCATAGTATTTTTCGACTTATGTTTATTGTTTTGGTGTTTGGGTTCAATCGGCTCCAAACCCTTCTGTGCGATTGCTACGGCTCTCTTTGGTTTGTGTTCCATCGTAGTAGGTTGGTTCTGGGATGAGCTCTTTTCGGATCAGCCGTTCGACCCGATTGATCTTCTACGGAAATTCAAGATCAATGTGAGGGTTCAGTCTGGATTCTGATGTTTCAGTGCTCGGGTTCAGTTTGAATTCCGATGTTTTGGTGCTCAAGTTCAGGCTGGGTTCCGATGTTTCGGTGCTCGGGTTCAGGCGGGATTCCGCTGTTTTGGTGGTTGGGTTGTCCTAATGTCAACCCAAGTTCTTAACGCTTTCACAAAGGTGCTCGCTGGTGCAATTGTTGCTGTTCTTTTTGGGTTGTGCTCCGTCGTGGTGGGTCTCTTCTGGGAAGAGCTCTTCTCAGATCGGCCGTTCGACCCGATCGATCTTCTACGGAGATTGAAGATAAGTGTGAGGGAGCTATTCCAGCTCTTTGGCACCTACAAGGAACTGAAGCAGTAGCTACTCTTAAATCCCAGGTAATCTTCTTATTTCTTATCTATGTAATATATTTATGT